CATTTGTTGGAGTTAACAACCAATATACTGGCTGACAACCTTGAGCTCATCAGCCCCTGCAGGGGCACAAGTCGGGAAAAGCCTCCAGCTTCATATTTGATACAAGAACTTGGGACTTGCCAGCTTCTATAAGTGTGTGAGCCATTTTCCTAAGATAAATTTCTCTTTCTCTCTCTATAAATAAGCTTTACTGATTTTGCTTCTCTAGAGAACCCAGTCTAACATACCTTGTATAAGGATATTTAAATTAAATGAGATTTTGCTTAAACTATAGCTACCTTGAGATACTATGTACTTATTATATAAGTGTTATTGCCATTGCTCAAAACATTTTGCGTATTCCTTCTTTGGGGGATATATATATATATATATATAATTTTATTGTGATTTGGGTGAAAGTTTACAGAGCAAATTCATCTTCCATACTGCAGTTCACAAACACTTTGTCTCATGACATTGACTGTAATCTCCCACAATGTAACAGTTCTCCTCCCACTTCCTCCCCATAGCCACCTCTTCCCCCCCATAGCCACCTCTTCCCTGTGTCCTTCCCTCCCATGCACTCCTGCCCCTGAGCCGTCTCCCTGTGCATACACCATCCTTCTCCCATGATTGATCTCTCCAAGGAGTGTATCTACCTAATGTAAATGTTCAGTTCGTATGCCTGTCTTTTCTTTGGCTGGATGCCACAGGAGTGGGTTCAATTCCAGACCTGAAGAGCAGCTAGGGGTCATGGTCTCAGGGGTCCCACCAGGCTCTATCAGATCCTTTGGGATATTTTAGAGTGAGTTTATTAGCCAAAGAAGATCAATCGTGATACTGAGTAGTCATGTATAGTCCTTTTTGTTATCTTTTAAAAAATAAAATAAAATTAGTGTTAACCAGCTTAATCACCTACCTGATTCACAAAACTTTCATCCCATGATTTGACTATTTAAAACATACATCACATCCAACTCAAAAGACACAATCTACTATTGTTGAAAAATATTGAGATTACAGAGGCGCTGGATATAATTCTAAAAGAGTTTCTAAAAATGTTTTGAACATACTAGAAGAACATAGTTTCCCAAAGAGAATGATTTGACTCTTACAGAACTTAACTATATAATATTATATAACATTAATTACGTACTCACTGCCGTGGAGTCAGAACCGACCCATAGCGACCCTTCCTTGGGTTTCCAAGACAGTATGACTACAGAAGTAGATTGCCCAATCTTCCTTCTGAGGAGTGGCTGGTGGGTTTGAACTGCCAGCCTTCTGGTTAGCAGTCAAATGCCTTAGGCACGACACCACCAGAGCTCCTATTAATTACATAGTTATATATAATTATGTTGTTGTTGTTATGTGCCGTCGAGTCAGACCTGACTCACAGCGATCCCTCCTTGGGTTTCTGAGGCGGTATCACTACGGAAGTAGATTGCTCAACCCTCCTTCCAAGGAGTGGCTGGTGGGTTTGAACTGTCAGCCTTCTGGTTAGCAGTCAAGTGCCTTAGGCACTATGCTACCAGAGCTCAATATATAATTATAATTAATAATTAATATATTAATATAAACAAAAACAAAAAAAACAAACTCACTGCTGTGGAGTTGGAGCCGACTCATAGCAACCCCTCTTTGGATTTCTGAGGTGATTATCACTACTGAAGTAGATTTCCCAACCTTCCTTTCGAGGAGTGGCTGGTGGATTTGAACCACCAACCTTCTGGTTAGCAGTCAAGTGCCTTAGGCAGTATGCCACCAGCACTCCTAATATATTAAAAAATCTGCTATAAGCTCAATTTTCACATGTAAAAAATTAGGATGCACCATATAAATTTCTGTCCCCTACTTTCCATTCTCCACATTGTAGCCAGGTTGATCTTTAAAAATACAAATGTGGCCAGGTTATTCTCCTTTTTAAAAATTTTCAGTGGCTTCCCAACATCTTTAACATGGCCTCCAGGGACTAGTGCAAAAATGGATGATCACCTCACCTCAACTCCTCATCTGCACTGTGAATGTCCTGCTAGTCCCCTGTCTCCCCCTCCCCTATGTTGCCTCAGGAGAGCATGGCCCCCATTGCCACCCATATGGGAGGGCCACCCAGTGTTCCAGAGCCAGGGTGGCTCAAGAACTGCATTGTTCCCTAGTCGAGTGGTTCCCCCCTCTCCCATCCCACAGTATTTTCAGGATGAGTGGCCCTGGTTCCCCTCAAAGTCCCCAAAACATCATTTTTGGCTTTGTAGAAGGCAGGGGACTCCCTGTCCATGAGTGGGAGGCCTAGGTGCCATGGAGGAATCCATCCTGCCAACTGGGTACACCCACTAGTCCCTCACCTGAGCATCCCTTGGCTCTTGTTAGGCAGCCTTGCCCCGCTCAAATCCTCCATGTCCCCATGAGAACTGACAATCCAGAGCTTCCTCTGAAGCTATGATGGCTAGGCCTAGCCTCTGTCCTTGACTGTAAACTACAGCTGCTGCTGGCCACTCACCTGCTGACTCCACTTCTGCCCAGGTAGCCTACTCTGTCTTTAGCTGTGTTCACCCAGGAGGGGCCATCAAGGAAGCATAAGGGGCTGTACCAATGCCGGTCAGCTGTCATGGGGTCCCTTGGGCCCTGGGCACCTGAGTGCCCCATCTCCAGGCTCTTTCTGACCACAGCCCAGCCAGTCGCTGCAACCCCATGGGGCTGTGAGCTGGGGCCAGACTCCAGCATCACACTTCCTCCCCAACCCTGAAGACATCAGATACTACTACCCCAGCCTCAACCCCTGTGGGCACCCAGGACCTTCCAGGCAGCATCTTGTCCCCACCAGCTATATTCCAGCCCACCGTTCCCTGCTCCCCCTGCAGCTCAGCAACTCTGGGAGACTGTGCTTCTTTTCTCCTTCTGGGCAGTGAAATACTGTGCAATACAAGGTTCCTTTCTATGTGCACACAGGGTCCACCACCCAGTGACCCCATCAGGGACCCAGGCATTTGTTACTGCCAGATGAGCATTGTTAACATGCAAAACAGTCAGACAGTAGACATTTTACTATTACCGTAAATGCAAAGGTCAGATATGGAGATAGTTGGTAAGTGAGGATTCAGTGTATTTATTCTAAGTTGGGAAGTGTGCTAAACACTCACATTGATTTATCTCATTTTTCCTTGACAATAACCCTATGAAGCACACTGTTATTATCCCCATTTTACACACGAGGAAACTGAGCTAGACACAGAATGGCTGAGTGACATGTTCATGGTTAAGAGTCTCGGCAGTCTGACTGCAGAACTGGGGTTCCTCATTTCTATCCTGCCTTGCATTTCCTCCCCACGATTTGGCCTTCATTCACCTCCTGCCCATTTCAGTGCCTTTACACAAATTGTTCCCTCTACTTGATCACTTGCTCCCTACTGTTACCTTCTACTCATCGTCAGCTCAAGCACTGCCTGCTTCTTCAGGGAAACTTTCCCTGACCCCTCAAGACTAGATCAAGTCCTGTTCTTCTTCCTTATAGCACTCAAATCATTTATTCATTTGCATGTTAATTCTATCTCCCTAGTCCATAAGCTACACACAGACATATCTATTTTGCTCACTACAGTGTGTTCAATGCCCAGCAGGTATGTAGTAGTCATGCAGTAATCACTGAATGACATCCATAGATCTCCTTTCCCCAGTCTGACTGCAAAGGAGTAAAGTAATGGCTCTCAAATTTTAGCACTCACCAGAATCACTGATTCTGCAGAGCCTGCATTTCTAACAAGTTCTCAGGTGATGATCATGCTGCTAGTTCTCATCTTTGAGAAGTAATGCAATAAAGGAAGAAATGACTGCAGTTAGGAAGTAGGGGGCTAAAAGAAGAAAGTCTGTGTTTGTGTGGCTGGGTAGGAAGGTGTATGAAAAGGGATTGGAGTTAGGTTGAGTCTAGTCTAGACTTTAGAGAGTTCTGTGTGGTTAGACTGGAGTTAGACCATAATCAGTGCTGTGGGGGTTAGACTGAAAAGGGGAGCAATGGTAACAATTATACTCAGAAACAGTGACATCAGCATGGAGAGGCAAAAAATTACAGAAAACTGAGAATTACTGATTAAGAACCTCAAGTTTTAAATGTAGATTTAGATTTAGGAACTGAGTGATGGTAGGGATAATTCTGAAGTATGCACTAAGTTGGCCTAATCAGTTTCATATAAAACTCGGCAAATAGAATTTTAAATCCCATTCTTACTAATTCATAAAAGTGGTTATAAACCATGTCACACTATTTCAATTGCCATGAGGGAATAATTCTGACTTTATATAAGAAAGATGATGTTGGTCAGAATTATAGGTGTTTGATTCCATTTTCTGTGACAGAACACCTCCAACAATAACCAAGCAAAAGTACTAAAATTAAAAACCCTATTTGGCTGGCAACAAAACTAGTACAGGTAATCAGTAAACATTTAAAAAGTCTAATTAGAAAGGGAGTGGCCAGAAAGGCAGTGCTGTGTGCTCTGTGACAATTGCTCACTTGACACCTGAATGTGAGGAACTGGGAGGGATACCAGTTAGTGGTACCTGTGGATGATGCCATTGGCAGGCCTAACTGTGTAGGCAAGTATCACTTTTTAAATTTGTCTTTCAATTTTAATGAAAGACAACCAACTATCAGTGTGATGTCACCGCTACATAACCAACTGTTGTCTAACACACCATGCAGATCAGAAACGCTACTAAAACGTCCAAAATATTCTATAAATTTCTTATCTCTGATAACAGGCCTCCTCAAAGTCATTTATAAAAAATTCACGTTTGTACAAGTGAGCTTTACTTTCTAGTATTGCTATAAAATGTTCGCCAAACCTTTGGACTGCCGTTCTCTAAATGACTCAGGTCATAAGGGTGACTAGGCAAGACTATGAGGCATCAGCCACATCCATCACCAGTGGTGGGAAATGACAGCTTCCTTTATAAACGAAAACCAGTATATTATATGAGTATGAATAATTCAGCCTCTATCAGCTTGCAAGCTTAAGAGAAACACTTACTTCTTTAAGAGCAGCTGGGATTTTTTTCTGTTTCCTCCCTGATGGAATACTATGTAAGACTGATGATAAGGCACTTGAAGATTTGTGATTTCCCGGAGAGCCAATCTTAGGGGACTGCTGGTGATCTAAAACAAATCAAGTACACTTATGTAGCCAGTGTAAGCACTCTGCAATTCAATTTAATGCAAATTAATAAACACTGTTGTGTTTATATCATGGAAGGATGCTCAAGAAACTGACAACTCTGATGGCCTCTGGCCAAAGAAAATGGATGCTTGGAGGGGTGTGTGAGGAAGACAACCCTGTCCGTGGTTTTTGGTTTTTGGATTTTAAACTGTGTGAAAAGATTACCCTTTTGTGCCGTTAGAATTCTGAAACATGTGAATGAAATAACAACTCAAAAAACTCAAAAAACATACACTAAAAAGAAATCTCTCCTACTAATTCATTTTTTAAAAACCTGACAACATTCTAGGTAGAAAACCAAACAATAATATTACAATAAAAAAAAAAAATGCTACAAAAGGAGACAGGGGGACGTATTTGAAGAAGAAAATAATTGTGACTGCAGAGGTTCAGGGAAAGCTGGAAAGCGAATGTGGTGCTTTATTTTGGCCATTAAGGCATAAGCAGGAGTTTACCAGGCAAAAGGGGACAAACACACCAGGCAGAGAGGTCAGTATGAGCAGACCAAAACCAAACTCACTGCCATCAAGTAGATTCCATAGCGACCCCCACTGGGTTTCCAGGGCAGTACATCTTTACGGAAGCAAACTGCCCATCTTTCTTCTGCAGAGCCACTGGTGGGTTTGAACTGCCAACCTTCTAGTTAGCAGTCAAATGCCTTAGGCATTGCACCACCAGAGCTCCTTAGTAGGAGCAAATGCAATGCACTGCCGTGGAGTTGGATCCGACTCATAGCAACTCCTTTTTGGGTTTCTGAGGCAGTATCACTATGGAAGTAGATTGCCCAACCTTCCTTCTGAGGAGTGGCTGGTGGGTTTGAACTGCCAGCCTTCTGGTTAGCAGTCAAACGCCTTAGGCACTACACCACCAAAGTTCCTAGTATGAGCAAAGGCAGGTGTAAAATTATATGATTTGGAGAATAATAAAGCTGGAAAAAAGTATGGGTCAAAGAAACCTTAACTGTTGTTTAAACAGTGGGAAATCAAATGCTTTTTAGGTAGGGGGGTGACTTGAGCCGAATGAAGATTTAGAAAAATTAATCTGGCAGCAGCTAGGAGGAGGGATTCACTCACAGCAGGCAAACCAGTTAGGAAAGTATAATCATCCAGGCCAGAGACAATGGAAGTCTTCATTAGGGTTAAGATGGTGCAATCAAGACAAAAACAGGTTTTCAAAGATAAATTTCTCAAGATCTGCAGATCAAATGGGTGAGGGTGATGACGGAGGGGGACTCAAAGACAAGAATCTTTTTCATGCTTGCAGCTTATGCTATATACCAGAGAGCAAAGGGGGGAACACTAAGGTGGCTAACAAATAACAGATGGATGTGTCTTCTAGGAAAATGTATTCAGACAATGTTGGTGTTGTTGTTGTTATGTGCCATCAAGTCAGCCCCAACTCACAGCAACCCCTCCTTGGGTTTCTGAGGTGGTATCACTATGGAAGTAGATTGCCCAACCTTCCTTCTGAGTAGTGGCTGGTGGGTTTGAACCACCAGCCTACTGGTTAGTAGTCAAGTGCCTTAGGTACTATACCACCAGAGCTCCTATTGAGACAACAGCAATCTATTAATCTATAAATGTAGGGGTTTTGAAAGAGCATGTTGTATAATTTTATTCACTCAGATATTGCTACTTGCTGTAGATTTATACTCTTCACAGAAATGGAGGATACTCGTTTTAAAATTTAGTTCCTACAGCTTTCAGGAATTCAACTATAGATCCTCTACCAAAATCTAGACCTATGCGGTCTTACTGGCTACATTAACTTTAGAGCTAGACTACAAATAATGAGTAGACAGATATAAGGTGTCATTTTGTATTTGGTCAAAGAGTTGTATTAGAATTAGGCTAACAAACTGCTACCTAGCATATTTCCATACAGAGCTGATATATGGACAATTCCCTTTCAAATGTCTTAAGCATTTCATCCTGTAATTGTATCTCTACCATTAATTTTTTTAACTAAACCTTATTTCACAGAGTAAAAATAAACTTTAGTTCAACTTCTCTTTGAATTATAACAAAATATGAGTTAAGAAATCTTAGTACTCATTTTGAGGCCAGTATCACCAATCACATTGCCCATGTGCCTAAGATGATACTTTTAAAAGGTTGTCTGAAAGCATCGGGGGAATAGAAGAATTTTCAGTTAAATCTTTTACTTATTTATTACCTAATTTCTGAAGTTCTTGGAAACAATGTTCGCATACTCTTGCTGGTCGATTTTTCAGGTAATCTAAACCACACTTATTTGATGAACAAGCTTGACATACAATCTGAAAACACATTGGAATTTTTCAATTAGAATACCCTTTGTGGCCAAACCGTAAGAAATGAAACAATTTATCACATTGTCTACTTTAAAATGTTTTCACAGTCATTCAACTTCAAGCTCCACAATGGAGTTAAAGCATGTGGTCACCTAACAACTGGGACTGCATGTGATAGACAAGGAGACCACAGGCTATTACTGAGTACTTACTGAATAGTGTAACACATGAGTTACTGAATGTGGAATGTTTAGAGCAGTGTTGGCCATGCAGTAAGTCCTGTGTTAGCTGTACTCAGCAGCAGCACTGTCATCATCATCATCATCACTGTGGCTGTAACTACCACTTCTGCTGCTCCGCTACCAAGTATCCTGCTTTGTATAAGATGCTCTCTATACAGGACCTTGTTTCCTCTTTACAGGATTCTCTGATGTGGTGGTTACTATGCTCATTTTACTAATGCAGTCATGAGGCTGAATAACATTAGTGAGTGACAACTTCAACACGAAAGCTCCCCTACTAAATACTTGGTCATCTGGAGAAATGCAGTTTAAGTACAGTGAAACCTGCGAGAGCCAGAACTCGACTGGACTGCTTTGTTTTTTCCAGTCTCGTAAGTTTTCTGCCTTTGACAGGATGTAGTCTTACTTTTCTATCACTCATTTTAATGGAAAATATTTGAGTTTTCCTTCTCTGACAGCTTTCTGCCTTACGCAGGTTCCCACTTTTGCAGGTTTTACTGTAATTAGCTATGTAGAAATGTAAGGGTCTAATTAATTGTAGATTTGTTAGTATTTTGAGTAGGAAGAGAGGAATTCCCCTCAAAGATTACTCCCTTAGTTACAGAAAACATGCACGATTGAGATCAATATCCTTCTTTACTTCCTTCCTCTCCCTCTCCGCCTTGTTCTTTCTTTTATGGCAGTGGTTTATGATGGGGATATGCTAGCTCACTATGGACAGCCTGGAGATACTAAAAATCATAATGGAGACTGGTGTTATCTAACCTTTCCGCAGGCCCGGCAATGGTGTCGTCTCCAGGTCAGAGTGAACTCACTTGTGCAGATCATACACATTGTGACTCTGGTATCAGGAATCCAGATTGGAGCCTTTGATCCAAGGGGACTTACTTCCTCTTTATTTTCCACATCTGCCTGTAGAAGAAGAATGATTTCTGATTATCTCCAAGCACACTGCCTGCTACAGAATCAAGCCTTTTTATTTGGCATTGGCACCTCACAGTGCTAATGGTATCATTATGGATATAGGATGAAGTATGGGCTGTTATTTTTATTTTTTCATGTTCTCAGGAAATTAAGATGAGCTACTTTCTAGAAATTCCTCCAATGCAAAATTAATTTAAGAAGATGGCTTAGTAGTGGGATGACAGTTGATAATTGTCTTCCTTCAACTTCTTTGTATTTTCTAAATTTTCTACAATGAGGTTTTTTAACTTGAAGAAAAAATCAATACACTATATTCTATCATATATTTGCAGTCAGACATTAGTCACAGGATATATATTAAACTCTGAAATGATAACACACATTCCCAACCTTCTGTCAAAACATATGTTGCTTTTCAAAACCCCTGCGGAAAGTTTTTTTTTTTTTTTTTTTTTTTGAGATAAAAACTGGAATGCACTGAAAGGAAAAACAAAAGCAGCAGCAAAGAGAATACCTCATCAAGACTCCTACTGGGACAAAATGTGATTCTTTTCTTGGCATATTCTTCTATTGACCTGGAAATCGCTTCCAGCCATTCATCCCTTTCTGTGGCAGAACTGTTGAGGGCAAAAGATTCCATCAACCAGATGTCAGCTTTTATTCTTTGCCCTTTTCTTTCTTACTTTTTTTTATCCATGGCAACAGATTCCACTACCCTCCAACAATGCTGCTGAGGCAGCAACTCTGACATTTAGGTACACAAATAAGAAGAGTGGGTGTTAGAACCCAGGACATTCTAGCCAATACAATGCTATTTTTCCTTTTTAAACTACTGCTTTCTATTAAATGGCTCTTGAAGTTGCTCCTAAGTTTGGAAGTATTTTATAGTTTAGTTTAAGAGACAGTCATGCAATTAGTAACTATGATTACTATAAAACCAAGGAGTTTCCTAAGACATCATCCTAGAATTCAAAAATATTCCAAGGAATCAAATTTCATATCCCAATTTACAGCACAGAACACTAAATATTTTCAGATTACTAAATATTACTAAAGGGTTCTAGAAAGGGCATGGAGGAGAGGGAACATATTTTTGCTGTCATAAAGGAAATGTTGTTTTTAAGGGAAACAGCTTCCCACTGTTGTTAACTCTTCTACCTGCTAAGCCCACCAAACTTTCTGTCCTTACCCTCAGGACATCTCAGCTTTAGTTCAAACCTAGATGAGAATGAGCCAAACAGAGGGAAAGCCAGTTTAGAACAGGGCATTCCTGATCTGCTTTTCTCTATAACCACATCTCCCTCCAACAATTCTGTGGTAACTCAGAATCATCACTGGTATTAGCACATTGTTTTTGTTTTGCATACTGAAAACTGAGAGTCACATTTAGGTATCATAGATAAATGAATAAATAAATGGAGTGAGTCTAATAATGAATTTGAAATGCTATCAAAATAAAATTTATCAGAGTAATGGAATTGTGATTGTGTTAAAAAAAAAAGTCTACATTTTGTAGAGAGGCATATTGAAGTATGTAGGTGTGACATGACTTGATAGCTACAACTTGTTTTAAAATACTTGAGGAGATAACACGGAAAATCTGTGGAAAATCTTGATAAATTTTGAGTCTAGATGACTGAATATGCAGTTTCATTGTAATGTTCACTTTAAGTATATTAGAACTTTCCAATAATATTTTTATTATTAAATATATAATTTTAATTTTATATATGAAAAATATTTTTAAAATCTATCATAACTAATGGTAACTACAAGCATATTTTGAAGAACCTGGGGCAGGTCAAAGAGACACTAAAAAAACCATCCACCTTCCCCACAGTAATCATTCTCAGAAATGTACCTACTTATAAAATAGCTTAAATGCCATTTAGAATATAGACTCACATGGATACAAGAGACAGAAATGAAGTTTACATATAAAATATAAAAACTAGTAAACTTCCCAATTCTCATTATTTGTGAAGGTCAAAATAAGACAGAAACCACCCCTCTTTGAACCAAACAAAACCTGCCTTAATCACCTCTATTCCTCTAACATTACTGCCACAATTCTGTTGTTGGCTGCCACGAGTCGGCTTTGACCATGTGTAACAGAACTAAACTTTGCCCAGTCCTGAGCCATCCTTCATGATCACTGGCATGTTTGAGTCCACTGCTGGGGCCACTGTGTACTGCCTTTGAACCTAGAAGCTCACCTTCCAACACTACACTGGACAATACTCTGTGATAATCCATACACTTTTCATTGCTAATTTTCAGAAGTAGATGACCAGGCCTTTCTTCCTAGTCTGTCTGGTCTGGAAGCTCCACTGAAACCTCTTCATGATGGGTGACCCTGCTGGTATTTGAAATACCAGTGGCACAGTTTCTAGCATCACAGTAACACGCAAGCTACCACAATACAACAAACTGACAACAGGTAGTGGACTGCCACAACTAGCTACCATTTAAGTTATTAGATGTTAGATAACTGTGCTAAATGCTTTGCAAATATCATCACATATCATCCTCAGAGCTCCCCTATGCTACATATTATATCTTACCACTTACTCTACTCCCCACCTTCACCATTTACAAGTGAGGAAACCAAGAATTTGCAGTATTAAATTTCTGCTTTAGACAACAGGCTACTAAGTGGCAAGTTGGTATCAGACTCAAGTGTGGTTAAGGACTGAACCCTTCACCAGCAGGTCATCCTTGGCCTCTCTGTTGGTGTTCTGTGCAGAACTTTATGATGAGAACATACTCAGGCTTCCAAGCAAACATTCACAAAACATTACATTCCTTCCCTCCCTCCCCCACTTTTTACAGGAAGAGGTGACAGCAGAGAGATGGATGGCTAATTTAAAAAATGTCATCTGACTCAGGACCATAGTCGCAGGGGGCATTAAGCTCAATTGGCATAACATACTACACAAAACATTGTTCCACCTCCTACTTTGGCGAGTAGTGACTGGGATCTTAAAAGCTTGCAAGCAGCCATCTAGATGCAATGATGGGTCTCTCCTCATCCAGAGCAAAGAAGAATGAAGAAAACCAAAGCTTCATGGAAACAATTAGTCTAAGAGACTGGTGCATCATGCGATCCTCAGCCTATACGACTATGAGACCAGAAGATGGTGCCCGGCTACCACTGTCAACCACTCAGAGGGGGATCTATGCAGGAGATCCTGGATAGAGAGGGAGAACAATGTGGAATAAAATTCAAAATCATTTAGGAAAAAAAAAGCAGGGGGGAACCAGGTTTGCTGGCCTGATAGAGCCTGGTTGAACCACTGAGACTATGGCCCCCAGCTGCCCTTCAAGTCTGGAATTGAACCCACACGTGTGGTTTCCAGCCAAACAAAAGACAGACATATGAGTTGAACAGTTACCTGAGGAAGATACACTCCTTGGAGAGAATAATCATGGGAGAAATAAGGGGCACAGGGAGACAGCTCAGGGGGCAGGAGTGCATGGAGAGATGGACACAGGGAAGAGGTAACTATCAGGAGGAAGAAGGAGGGGAACTGTTGCATTGTGGTAAATTGTAGTTAATGTCATGAGACAAAATGTATGTGAACCGCTGTATGGAAAGTGAATTTGCTCTGTAAACCTTAACCCAAATCACAATTAAAAAAAAAGAAAAGAAAAGAATATACACAGCAAAATATACACCAATTCCACAATTTCTACATGCATAATTTAGTGACATTGATTACACTCTTTAAGTTGTGCAACCATTCTCCCTAAAAAAAAAAGAAATGCCCTCTGATACAGAGTGAACATTTACATCAGGTAGATGCACTCAGAACAATCGGGAGATAAGAAGGGCTGTGTGTGCACAGGGAGAGAGCTGTGGGGGTGGGTGAGAGTGCAGGGGAGGGAAGAACACAGAAGACGTTAACTACGGGAAGGAAGTGGGAAGAGAGCTGTTAGGTTGTGGGGAATTGCAGTCAATGTCTTGAAAAAAAAAACTGTATGAACTGCTGTATGGAAAATGAATTTGTTCTGTAAATTCACCCACGTCACAATAAGAAAAAATAACACATTTGTCATAGACCACACACATTTGTCCGTAGCACAGAATGAAGGCACTGCAGCTCTCCTTTGTTGCAGTCCTGGCAGACGAATTAGCATCTCCCTTGGATCAAAAACAGTTAAGCCAAGTATTCTTCTCATGTAGAATGTGTACATTACCAGAAACCATATTTGTAACAAATGAGTCCCTTTTTCCCATTGGCTGGCATGAATTTCCAAGTGGGAAATACCTCAAGGTGAAGTTTTTCTGGTGTTATACTTCACTACAGTGCTAACTGTGGGATGTTACACTGAGGTTCAAAGGCCACAGAACATCAATTCATTTCAGTGACATTTTTTGGGAGCCCAATAAAGGCCAGGAACTAAGCCATGAACTGAGCATACAAAATCTTACTTGTGAATGCTCACATCTAAATCAGGTGAGATATAGACGTAAGGAATTAACATACAATATCATAAATGTAAGGAAGATAAATAACACAGAAGTAGTAAATTACCTTACTAAGGATGAGGATCAGAGAAGTGGGGAAGGCTCTGCAGAGGTGTTGACCGAGTTAGGATCTGAAGAACTATATGTGTTTGACAAGGAACTGTGCAGTCTTTCTGTGCACTCCCTTTCAGTCTCCTAGTTTTGGTTATCATCGCTAAGTTGATGACTCCCAAATACATGCCTTTAGTACAGGCTTCCTTCTGAGATCCAAATCCTTGTATAAATTCCCTCCCTGATGGTTCCATTCTGATGTGTCATTGACACCTCAAATTCAACATGCACGTCTAAAACTAAAGTCCAGATTTCTCCCTCACAGTCTTGTCCTTTCCCACTATTCTCTATCCCACTGAATGGCACCAGCACCCCACACATTGTAAAAGCTGGAGATGCACTCAACTACTCAATCTTTCTCATCTCCTGTCCAATTAATTACCTCTCTTAGTCTCCCTCCCAACCCATTTTCTACACAGCAACCATGTAATTTTTTCAAATGCTAATCTGATCACATCATTCCCTTGAATAAACCTTTCGATGGCTTCCCATGGCTCTCAGGTTTAAAGATCAAGAGCCACAAGATGATTCTGTATGATCTACCTTATTTCCCCTCCAGTCCTATCGTAGGTCCCTCTCCCTCTTGTTCTCTGTGTTCATGCAGCACTGGCCTTTCAGTTCTTTGAATATGCCATGCCCCTTCCTACCAGAGGGACTTTGTACACATTGTCCTGATGTCTAGGAGCCTCTTCCTTTCCTCCTTGCCTAGCTTTCCAATTTCTACTTATCATTCAGATGTCAATATGCATAGTAGGTCTTTAGGATAGTGAGTCAGCTATTCCTGACTCATCCGTTTCCCCAAAATCTTGCTCAAGGTACCTTGTATTATAGCCACCTTAAAGCTTCTAGTACTTTTCCTATGTACTACTTCAACTGTAAGGCGCTCTGGTGGCATAGTGCTTAACGCATCTGACTGCTAACCAGAAGGGTAATGGTTGAAACCCACCAGCCACTCCGTGCAAGGAAGACTGGGCAGTCTACTTCCAAAAAGATTTACCACCTCAGAAACTCAAAGGGGGTCATTTAAACCCTGAG